TTTTTTTTTTTTCAGGGACCTCTGAGAGGGTCTGGAATTAGGGTTCAGATACCATCCATCTGTTATGTGCTTTGAAGATGCCACTCCATCTGTGGGATTCAATTTACATAAACTGAAGACTATTCTTCTGAGTTGAAGTGAGGAGAGGCATCTATCCTCTCCTCCTGCAAAATTATTTGATCTCCTGGAAGCAAAAAGCCCACTATGAAGTTGTTCTTGCCATGGACTTCTGGAGGAGCTGACTGTCCTTTGGGAAGCTACAAATACAGCCTTAAAATCTGTTAGCAGGGAAGAAAGAGAGGCTTTTTCTGAGTGATCAGGTAGGTGAATCCTCCTCTTCCTCCTTTTTCCTCTTTTCCATAGCAATCTGCAATCCCAACCACCCCAATCCCCTGATATTTTGCTGAAATCGCTTCCACTAAATTCCTGATGACCTCCAAATCCACTTGTAACTATGGAGCATCCGCATCTCTTGAAATTCTGTTTTCCTTTGGCTTTTGGGGACACCTCTCTTCCTTGGTTCTTGTCCTGTGTTTCCGGCTGATTATCTTTTAATCTTCACCTCCTTTGGCTGCCCTTTAAAATGGGTATTCCTGGAAGTCCTTAGTTTTCTCCTCTACTCACTCTATTCACAGTTTTGGGGCATTGATAACCAAAATCTCTCTCTCTACATGAAATCCATGTAGACATGGATTTCAAAATGGTGGGATCAGATCTCCAAAGTGTGTATGAGGTCTTTATCTGTCATCTGATTTTCAGACACATGTAGTAAACTGCCTTCTAGACTTTCATTGGGTAAATTTAATTCCTAAACCAGTTGTCCTGTTGTTCCAGTCTTAGAGACTGGTACTACCAAAAACTTAGGGGCTATTTAGACTTCTGCTCTCTGTTATATCATTTATTCAGTGGAAATATATTGATCTTTTACTATATTCTGGGCAGTGGACCATGTGCTGTAGGTACAGCCTCTGCCCCAAAGAGACTCATAATCCAGGAGACAGGTAAACAATCAGAGAAACACACTGTATGATGTAATCAGAGGGATAAGTCCATGAACAGAAGCACGTTCTAGATGTAAGACATAGAGAAAGCACAGCAGAAGGACTGACTAGGAGATGGAATAGGAAAAAAGGCTTCTTTGAGGAGCTAATGCCTAGGATGGGTTGTGAAACACAGATGGGACCAGGTGCAGAGGTGTATGCCTATAGTCCCAGCTATTTGGGAGGCTGAGGTAGGAGGGCTGCTTGAGCCCAAGAGTTAGAGCATGTAATGTGCAATGATGGTGCCCACGAATGGCCATTGTGCTCCAGGGTGGGCAACATAGCAAGACACCATCTCATAAAAAACAATCAATCAAACAAAACAAAGAGAATGGAATTCCCATGACAAGCGGGGAAGGTGCGGTATTTTAGGCATTTCAGACTTCATGTAAAACGTATGGGTGCGTGAAACCAAATAACATTTACCTAAACAAATATGAGCGGTTTGATATTGAAGGAGTGTAAAGTTTAAGGCAAGGGGAAATTTGACAGGAGGTGAGCCAGAAGTAGTAGGTAGGGGCCAAATCATAAGGGGTCTGTATAATAATAAGAGCAATAATAGCTACAATTGGCTGGGCTCAGTGGCTCATGTCTGTAATCCCAGCACTTTGGGAGGCTGAGGCGGGTGGATCACTTGAGGCCAGGAGTTCGAGACCAGTCTGGCCAACATGGTAAAACCCCGTCTCTACTAAAAATACAAAAATTAGCCAGGCATGGTGGTTCTTGCCTGTAATCCTGGCTACTTGGGAGACTGAGGCAGGAAAATTGCTTGAGCCCAGGAGGCAGAGGTTACAGTGAGCTGAGATTGCACCACTGTACTCTAACCCGGGCAACAGAGTGAGACTCCATCTCAAAAAATAAATAAATAAATGAAAAATAATAATAGTAATAGGTACAATTTACAAAGTACACTTTACATACAGAACCACTATTGCTCAATCACCCTGTATTATTATTCACACTTTACAGCAAGGGACCTAAGAGGCTGCATATCCCATACAGTTGTTTAGCTGAAATCCACATCCAGGATTCTTTGATTCCAAACTGTAGGCTCTGGCCAAGAGCTTTGCTTATGCTTATAATCCTAGCACTTTGGGAGGCCAAGGAAGGAGGATCACTTGAGCTCAGGGTTTGAGACCAGCCTGGGCAACATAGTGAGACCTCATCTCTACAAAACAATACAAATAAATGAGCTGAGTGTTGTGGCACACACATGTAGTCCCAGCTACTCAGGAGGCTGAGGTGGAAAGTTCCCTTGAACTCAGGAGTTCAATGCTGCAGTGAGCTATGATGGTGCCATTGCACTCCAGCCTGGGTGACAGAGTGAGACTCTCTCCCTCTTTCTCTCTCTCTCTCTATATGTATATATGTACACACACATATACATATACATATATGTGTGTGTGTGTATATGTATATATATGTGTGTTGTGTGTGTGTGTGTGTGTATATATATATACACAAAACCAAAGCCTAGGCTCTTTGCTGTCTACCACACCTCACTTGCGCGATGCTCAAATGCCCTTCCCTCATGGAGTTTATAATCTAGCACAGGAAACATTAGCATCCACTTGTCTATCCTTTTGTGTGAGTCTCTACTTCAATTGGAGGAACTGGCACTGAAGCTATAAGGATGGAGGAGGATTACAATAAGCCAACGATGACATACCCATCCTTTTTGACAGTGGTTGGTTTAAAAACCAAGGCTTAGTCTAGCAACTGATTAAAAGACATATAAAATGTGATATATTCATACAGTGGAATATTATTCAACAAGAAAAAGGAATAAAATACTGATACATGCAATAACATGGATGAACCTTGGAAACATTATGCAAAGTGACAGAAGCCAGTCACTAAGGACCTCATATTGTATAGTTACATTTATATAAAATGTGTGGAATAGACAAATCTGTAGAGGCAGAAAGTAAAGTAGTGGCTGCCTAGGGCTGAAGGGAATGGGGGAGTTGGAGGATGGTGGCTAAAGGGTGGCAAGTTTATTTTGGAGATAATGAAAATATTCTAAAAGTGATCGTGGTGCTGGATACACAACTCTGTGAATATACTAAAAGCTATTGAATTTAATACTTCAAATTGTATGGCATGTGAATTGTATTTCAATAAAGCTGTTTTTAAAAAGGCTAAAGTTAACAGTCCCGTGGAGGAAAAAGTGTTTAGTGCAGGGTGAAGAAGACTGCATGCCATGAGTTGGGAGGGGAGGGGAAATGACCTCTGCTGTTTGTGAGGTCAGAAACTAGGGTGAGGCTGCCTTGGCCACAGATGGTGGTGGCGTATGGTTCTGAGGTAAGTAGAGACATTTTTAGTTCCATAATAGTTCTTTCCCCTGGCTTCCAGGCTTCCTACCCTGCTTCCTCACCACCTCCCACTTTGCAAATCATCTCTAGCATCATCCAAATCTGACCTTGGCAGTTCCCTACTTAAAATCCTCCTGGGCACTCTTGTTGCCTTCGGGGTAAGGCCCAAATCTTCACACTCCTTTGCCAGCCTATGAAGCCCCTTGTGGTGTCACCCTCCCGCCCCTCTGCTTTTGTCTCCCACATGTATCCATGGCCACACTGGTTTGTTGTCTCACAGCTCTGCCTCTCCCAGGGTGCTGAAATTCCTGCCTGGAATGCCCTTCCGCTTGCCTGACTTCCTAATCCACCCACCATTCAGTGTGGCTCAAATATCACCTCCTCCAGGAAGCTTTGGACTTGTCCAGGCTGGGCTAAAGGTCGTCCCTCTTTTGTGTTCCTAGCACGCTTTTATATACATTCTGGCTATCTAATCTATGCACTTGTTATTACCCACTTCTAATTGTGTTAGTTTCAACTCTTAGTCTGAATTCTTACCACTTGACCTTGGCCAAGTTACTTAACATCTCAATATACTGATCAAAAAGGGGATTAAAAACAGTATCTTCTTCCTAAATGTGCTGTGAAGATTAAAGTTATTAAAAATACGAGAAAATGTGTTAAAGCCATATATATTGTGTATATATTATATATTAAAATATATATTCAAATGCTTTGCACCATGTCTTGCACAGTGTAAGTACTACATAAATGAAGATTTTATTCTGGCTGTTATTATTGATCATTTATACTAAACTGTAAGCCCCTTGAGAATAGTGACATATTTATCTAATCTACTGCCTGACATCTGGTAAGCATTCAGGAGATACCTGGGTCTATGTCTCCCCCATGTTTTCCATGCTGGCTTTGCCATTTTAAGTATTTTGTATTCACAAAGACTTGGTGAAACTATAACTCAACTCTTTTTTTGTTTTGCTTTTTCTTAATTAAGTAATCCTCCCTCCTCAGCCTCCAAGGAGCTGGGATTACAAGTGTGTGCCACCCATGCCTAACTCTACTCTTGGACTTTTTGATTTTCAAAGAATGTGGTAGTGTGGGGGAGGAGGAATTTGCATGGGGGAAAAAATCCAACTTTCTGAGACAGTCCCAGAAGAGATGAAGAAAGATGAGGTTTTTTTAATTTTGCCTAGGTGTCTGGAGGCTGGGAGGCTTTATCTGAACAAGAATATCTGCCTCATCCTTGAAGACAGAGGAGGGAATCGTTCCTCTCCATGTTTTTATTAGAACATTTGGAAATCCTGAGAACAGGGAGTTCTTTTGTCAGATAAAGGCTCAGGCAAATGAGGAGCTAGACTAGATGAAGTCATTGTTGTGGGTATATTTTCCAAACTCTAAAGAAGACAAACTATGGCTCAAAAGAATTGTTTTTATCCTGATTTGTGATTTTATTTATATAGGAAGTGGTGCAAAGATATAAAACACTGAAATTGCATGAATGAATTATCTTTATTAAAGATAGACAAAAGAAACAAGTGTAGTCAAAAATACTTCAGTGTTTGTAATGTTTTATATTAAAGAAGGTTTAGTTCACTGGGCACATTGGCCAGAGGGTGATCAGAACGGGGCAGAGGGCAGTGTATGAGGTGTAGATAATGTATATATTGATCCAAATGGCAGCTTTATGGTTGTATATATTTGTAAAAATATATCAAGTATCATTCAAAGATTTGGGCAATTCAATAAAAAAGTTCAGGGAAAAAACTTTAGTGAATAAAATGGTGAGAATTGTAATTCTCACCATTTATTTACAATAGAAGTAGATAGAGTATTTTACTCATATTTGCATGTTTGATGAACTCAGTTTACTAAGTCATTGTGATGTTTGCTAACTTAACTCTTTCAGATATTATTTATAGGAATATTAGAATTTCTGTGAAATGTCAATGATTTATGGGATCTAGGATA